TCGTTTTACTGGATACCCCTTTATGAGTAGACGCCATGTTTAATTTTTAAAGGGTGTCTACTCAAGCAAGCTGTACTCAGTGAAATAATTTAAAGCAATCAAAACAATTCATCTCCAAGAAAGAAGTGGCAAATTATATTTGAATACCTGCCACCAACATCAGGGAGACTGATTCAAGCCTTTTCAAGGGTATCATTGTTAAATGTTCACGAATTCGTTCAGACTAATTTTTAACTTTGATTAATGATTCAATTTTTCCTTCCTCTTAGGATAAATTCAGGAGGAACACAAAATATAAAATTCTTTTTCTGATACGATGTCCAAGAAGTTGAGGCTGCTGAATATTGGCAAACTCAAAGACTATATCCTTCAGTTTCACCTAAAGTCTTGTCTTTCATGTTCTCCGAGACAACAGGTGGCTTTTTTTTATTAGCTGTATATTGTTCTATAACAGAATGTACACTCCGTTTCGCGCTTAAAGGAATTGCAGGCGTTGGCTTCTTTCTTTAAATAATGTTTTGTTTAGTTTTTTCGTTATTTGGTATTTGTGATAGAGGTTAGCCAAGCAGTCAGATGGATTGTTTTAGTTCAAAAGCGTCGGTAATTCTAGTAAAGTAAAATAAAATCAAAGACGGTGTTCTGGTTTCGCAACGAGATCCGTATGTCTAACACCCTTCACTATAACAACAGATGTCAGTAATGTACGTCAATAAATCTGACGCGATTTCAAGTTCGGTTAGCCCACAAACCCTGCCAATAAAACCAGATACAATCAAGACTTCAGGTGCCAAGAGACTCGCCTTTTCACTTCTTTAGACGTTTCCAATATCGTGTATCACGAAATGCATTATCAGTCCAGTGATTCGGCATAAAAATATGTAGAGAGAAGGAAACATTTATACAAAAGATGCCATTTCTTTCATTTTGAAATTTGATATTCTACAATCTTTACCTTCTGTAACATTACCGCCGTAACGAATACGAGACTATATTGTACATACATCAAATTAATGTTTACTACATTGTCGACATAGTTAATATCAACGTCAGGGTGTGTGGTTTTTAGAACTTTCTTCGAAAGTTGGTCTTCTTGTGAGATCTTGCTTTTTATCAGGAGAGACGTTTTATGTAATTTCTTGTCATTTTGTTGTTGTCAAGTGTGTGCACATTATACATTTAACAGCCTTAATCTCTTGCTCCTACTTTGAGGCCCGATTCTGCACCTCGCGGCTTTGAAGTTACCTTCCAGGTCAACCTTCTGATGAACTTGGCTTTTTTATGCTCTCGCATAACAGCCCGGTGAACACAGTGTATATTAGGGTCATCACAGATCAACTTTTAGAATAAAGGTTTCTTATTGAGATCAAATTCTTCATGACGTGATTCACATACTACAGATCGTTTTTGTTGCTTTTATCGAGTTAAAACGTCAGCTCGCGTCCTCTGTAAATGTTTCAGTGTAAATACCTGCTCCTAGTTTCAAGTCATTAGATACTTCGCTAATCATTATTTCCGATATCTGCAGTTGTACAGAATGAAAGACCTTCTGTCAACAATCTAGACGATATTATTGAACCTTTGCACTGAGATGATCCCACACTCTAGATCTCCATGACCCATTTTTCTAGCAATAATTATGTGACAATGTCTTGAACGAATGACATTTTTTCTTCCACTATTAAACTTAAAGAAATACAGGATATATGGTTGTCAGGAAACGGAACAGCCAAAGCCGTTAACTAAAATAAACCAGTTAAAAAACATAAAACATCTTTGAAGTGCGACACCGAAATCTGAAGCGGCATTGAGTTAGCAAAAGATGCCTCTCAAAAGCTAAGCAAAATAAGAGGATACAGAAAAATTTCGTTCGATACAAAGAAAAGAGTATTGAACTGTTAAGTTATATTAGTTTTCCTATGTGACAGAGAATGCTGGACAATCTCCTCATAGGTGACGAAGAAACTTGATGCAACAGGAATGTGGTTGTACAGAAGGATGCTGGGAATATCATAGAACGAACATGTGAGTAACGGGGATGTTTATGAAAAATAAAACCAAAACAAAATGGCTTCCAGATCTTGACCTTGAAGAATTTGACATTTACAAGGCATTCTGAAGGGAAGATGGGAAAAGGAAAGCAGCGAATAATTTATCTGATGTGTTTATTTCTCAGAACAGTTTTTAAAAGATATCACAAATGCTAAAACTTACAAAGAGCTAGGAAGGACATGGGGAGCTATGATAGACTACGCCCTGAATTGGAATGTTACAAGAAAGAAGATTCTGATGAAAGGAATAATTTTGAAAATTCTTTTTTGATATTTCTCTCTCTGTCTCTCTCTCTCTGTCTGTCTGTCTCTCTCTCTCTCTCTCTCTATATATATATATATATATATATATATATATATATATATATTAAGGCATTAAAAACTAGAAATGTAGTATTGTAGGCCATGATAAGTTTAAAATAAAACGCACACCAGTCGACCGGTTTCGTCCCTTCTCGTCAGAACTGTTAACGGGGAATTTAGATTATGAGGAAAAGAAAAAGTCTGTCATGGGTGACATGAATGAATGGACAGGGAAGGAAAAAAATTAAAATTATACCAACCAAGCTGCTAGAATCGCAGAACAGCAAGTCCAAGCAAACAATCTCTTTGTTTGCAAAGAGAAGGTTGCCTAGACCTGATGTAAAGCGACTCCAGCACCTTAAGATGGAAAAGTGAGTGCGAACTGGCCAAGACGGAAAACCAGTTCACACTGAAATCCATCGTACAAGTTGGATTCTTTATAAAATGATCCGCAATGGAAGACCCATACGTGTTACGAATGGTATCGCCCAAAGAAAATTTTTGTTTTTAGTATTATCGCAGGTACGTGTTGTTTAATTCTCACGTCCAACCGCTGTGTCGTTCTACCTATGTAGTCGCATCCACAACTACATTTGAAATAGTAAATAACAGAGTTAATATGGTGGGGGGTAGAACATCTTTACACATAGATGAAAGTATGGACTTAGTTTGAAAGACAACACGAACGTTCGCTGCAAAATAACACTCACGTGAACTACATGAAATACGCTTGGCGAAGGATTCACTAATCTTACCCAACCACGGTAAACGAAGATAGACCGGACATTTACCTACTGAAGCAGGTTTGATTTTGTTGAACCTGGCGGTCTCATCTCGAATAACCGATTGAACAATGTTCAACGGATAGCCATTGTTCACAAAGATCTCAGTTAAACAACTGATTTCATGTTTCAAGGTGTCATCCGAACAGATCATTAAATTTTTAATTTTTTTTTTTTTTCTTCCCTGTCCATTCATTCATGTCACCCATGACAGACTTTTTCTTTTCCTCATAATCTAAATTCCCCGTTAACAGTTCTGACGAGAGGGGACGAAACCGGTCGACTGGTGTGTGTTTTATTTTAAACTTATCATGGCCTACAATACTACATTTCTAGTTTTTAATGCCTTAATACGCTTTTTTTGTACTGTTTCAAACCTATTTATATATATATATATATATATATATATATATATATATATATATATATATATATATATATCTTTAGACACATACATACATTTCGTTAATCGAATTCGCCCTAAATAAGGTAGTAAAGCCACTAAGACACAAGGGGGGGGGCTACGTGTCGTGAGAGAATTAGAAAACAAAAATAATGTTGAGGAGCTAGAACAATAGAAAAATAAGGAAAACATTAGGTAACTACTGGAATTACATTTAAATTTTTGAAGATCAAAGTTGGTTAGGAATTAAGAAGCCGAAAGAGAGTTCCACAAGCGAGAAGTGCGAGAAAAGAAACTATTAACATAGTCTTTACAGTTACATCTAACCAAAAAAAAAAAAAAAAAACGTCCTTAAATGCTAAAAGGTGTGATACCTAAAATAGACGAGGGAGATTTCACTCTATGCAAGGCAATAAAGCCCCAAAGATGCAAGGGTTTATTGAGTGAGAGGGAATATGAGTAAAATAAACACTAATAAAGAGAGAGGACAATAAAAGACAGGAATTAAGAAGACAGAAGATAACGATTGACAATGCACTTAAACTTTTGGAGATCAAAGTTGGCTGGAAAGCAAAAAGACGAAGTGTGAGAAAAGATAGCATAGAACATACGGTTGCATCTAGCCAGTTTAACTGTAAACTGTCGGGATCTTGTTAATCTATTGTTGCGCAAAAATTCTTAAAGTCTATATACCATAGGAAGGAGCTCCTGCGAACAATTACCATGAATTTACTTATATAAAAGTTTCAAGGAAGCAATTTTACAGCGCTGGGAATGTGACTGGAGCCAAGACAACCAGATTACGACCATTAATATTGCTCATTAGTTTTGGGATTTTAGCAATAATCTCCAAATATATAGCTGGAGCACCAGACCATATGTGGGAGCAATATTCTAATCATAGATTAGAATATTGTTGCCACATATGGTCTGGTAGACTTATAAATATGTAAGATAGATTCCGAAGAGATCTATTGTCTAACACAACACCGTGAATCAAATCCCTTGGCAACAGACTTAGCAATTGATTCAATATAGTCTTTTCAATTTATGTCAGCCGAGAATTTTAGCCCGAGAAGTTGCAAAGAGTCACTTTCTTGGATACATGCCTTGTCTCTTCAGGAAGTGTGGGATCATGGGTCGCAATAGATGATGATATAGCGATTTTCCCAGCGTAAATTAGATGTGGCACAAAGCCCAAAGTAATGGGTACCCAGTGAAGATCGAACTCACTACTCAGACGTAATTGTTCTAGCGAGCCAAGCTTGATCACCATTACACTGTCTCGACGTACGTAGCCCAACCGATGTATATGCTTTTTTGCTGGCAAGACATTTTGGTGCGCCACTGTAATGCTAATAAAGTCTTTAAAATATTTAATTTAGTGATTGATTTTTTTTTTTTCATTTTGGAAATCTGTTTCAGTCATTTCTCAATTTCAAAACGAATACCCTAGGGAAATTCATGAAATATTTGCAATCAAAAACTGAAACACTCAATCTCTCTCTCTCTCTCTCTCTCTCTCTCTCTCTCTCTCTCTCTCTCTCTCTCTCTCTCTCTGTATCTATCTATCTATCTATCTTGCTTTCTCTCTCTCTCGCTCTCTCTCACGGTAATTTTGTTCAGCAGGTGTTGTAGTGCACGATAAATAGTTGACAACCATTTACTCACGCGATGTTCTTCACAGCGTCGTTTCCTTATTTCATTCTGCTTCCATATTCCAGTTAGGCTCATAAAATTGCAATTCAGGTGAGCTCATAATTATTACTTTCAGCTTTGCTAAAGCTTCAATTTGAGTCTTATCGACGAACCATACATTGCCCCTTTGGGAAAGTAAACGAAAGGGTACTATAAACTCAAAATAATTCTGTAAAGATTTCACAAGTAGTTCATCATTTTAAAATATCACCATAGGTTCACCTTGCATTCAGACTCTGACATATTGGCAATAGCTACAGATGCAATAAAATACACTTGGATCTATTATGCTTGAGTCCATGTTCTCGTAATTAATCGATCAGAAGTTTAATATCGCGAGATGTCGTTCTAGGGTACGAGATCAGGATATCGACTTGGGAATACGTGTTTCGTTCAATACCTTTAATAAATCGTGCTACTTCAATTTCGAATGCTTTGCTGGCAGTTTGCTCGCAGTAAGGTCGTCAAGTAAAGCGAGATGTCTTCCAAGTGGGGAATTGAAGATATAGATGTACGAGCTTTCATCGTCAAGTGAGATTTACTAGAACTGTTTAGATGCCACCAGTTTGGCACAATATTTAGTACTACGCATTAAAACGAACATTTCTTCAGCAATAGAAAGTCTATAATGCTTCTGTTTAATTGCTTTTTGAAATCTCGAGGGTCTAAACAAAGTCATATTATTTTCCCCGTTCAGGTTACCCACAATGAGTAATGAGTTAATACAATTTTTCATTTTTGTAGAAAATCGTCTTCTATTTGCCTTGACCTACCAGTATGTAAACGATCATGGCTCTCCACGACTTCTTAAAGTTCGTAGATCTTAACAATGCTTGTTCTTTTTTTTACTATAAATTCCATTCCCTGCCTTTCCAACCAAGGTTGTTAGGTAGGCTTTTCAGTGTTTTTCTTTGTCGGTCTTACCATCAATATCCTGCGAATGTTGATTTATTCAAATCTTGCTATGTAGCCCTATGAATTTCAACTGTACTTTTTATAGAAAACCTTTTCTATGTGGCGTGACCTTTTTGTATACAAGCGATCATGACTCTCCACGTCTTCTTAACCTTCGCACATCTTTTTTTTTTTTTTTACTGTAACTTCCAATCCCTGCCTTGCCATCCAAGTTTTCTAGGTAGAGCCTTCGCTGTTTTTCTTTGTCGCTCTTGCCAGCACTGTCTTGTAAGCGTCGAACTTTGTAAACCTTCCTCGCTATGTGTCTTATAAATTTCAGCTGACTTTTTTATGAATTTATAAGTGTCCTTTTTATTTTCATTTTCCTTAAAACTTGCTCGTTACTCACATAATCCATTCTCAATATTCTCAGCATCCTTCTGTAGAACCACATGTCTTTGTCTTGATTTTATCGGCGAGAAAATTGTCCATCATCCACTGCCATATGAGAGGATTCGTATTATATATCCGTTTATTGTTTTCCTGTTTCTGAATACTTTTCTTAGATTTTGGAAGGCATCATTTTGCTATTCCAATGCGATTTGTGTCATATTTTTCTTTATCTATTTTATTATAAATAATTCCTAGATATTTAAACTTGTGTACTTATTTGTGACATCTTTGTAGAAAATACTAAACCAAAAAATATGTGTTAGACTTCATTTAGACAATTAAATGCCATACGTGATACACGCTTAAGCGATCATGTCTCTTTCGATTCGTGTTTGATGAGGCTGAAGATTTTAGCGCAGAAGCTTCTTATTTCTTTCTGCGATAGACTGGTTGCCTTACCACGGGTTGACCCAAGCCTTGTGATTGAAATTGGGGAGACTGAACTCTTGGGGCCATCGATAACTGTGCTTGCACAAAGTCCCAAGTCATCGTGACCGAGGGTTTGGGTGTGCTGTCATTGTTCCGACTGTTGATCACGCTATATAATACGCCCTCTCCTAGAAACTTTAAGGTCTACTCAGCATAGCTGCAGTATAAGCCACAGGTTGGCTTTTGCAAAAATGCGCCTGAGCAGGCGTCTGCGGCAAGGATTGGCCATTTTACTAGTAGATAGGTATACTCGGATACAAGGAGCCAGCCACCACCAAACAGTCTGCAATATGGATTGGTTTAGCCGCCCTAATAGACTGGTATCCTCGAATACGAGTGACCTGCTATTATTATTAGGTTGGTCCAAAAATAATGTCGTTTTTTGACGTTCAACTTAACGTCAAAAAAAGACATTATTTTAGCACCAACCTAATATTAGACTGGTTGCCAACCAAGGTTATAGCACGTAGTCTATCCTGCTGCTCAAGCCGGTAGGGAAAGAGATAGATTCATGCCTTTCTCTAGGGTATCGTTAACTTGGCTCTGTTTATTTACTGACGCAGGCGTTAATTTTATTGTATCCTTTACGATAACATCATATTTATTCAACATTTTTTTCATACAGCAAACACCAGATGTCCTCTGAACGAAAAATCTAATTCATCCCGTATTTACAGTTTTATGCGGTTAGAGAAATAAAAACAATTGACTCATCATTTTTCTTTCTTTTTTTTTTCTTTTTTTTTTTGTGTGTCTCATCAACCATTTCCAGGTTATTTACACCCAGAAAACTTTTTTTTAAGATTGTAATCATTTTTTGGAGAAAATAATTATTTTTAATGATACAAGTTTGACTATTTAACCCATAGTTGGGGAAAAGATGTGGATTCTTACATTTTCAAATTTGCGAGTTAGTGAATATAAAGAACCCAACTGGAGTTTGAACTCAGCTCTCTGATTTCCCAATTCTGAGCCGTTATCGATAACACCACCCGCACATCCAAGCTTATAGCACCGGGTATTTCAAATGGTCACCCATCTAGGTACTGACTAGACTCTTCGTTGCTTAAGTAAAGTGATAGTGCAAGAAACTATGTTTCAACGCTATATAGCCGTAAGCCCTTTTCTTTTTACATCATCATCCTCGCCAAGGACGAAGGAGATTTTGGTTCTCCCTGAATTCCTGCCATCCATTAAACCAAACACATTAAGAAGATTATACGATGTTGTCAACGCGCAAACGCGCAGACCGTTTTTCTATTTTTGTTCGCTGAATAATATTTCCTCGCACGCACGTATATATGTATGATGGGGTCTGTGTAAGACTATGATAGGTAAAAATTGCTATTATTTTTAATTTTTTAAGGCTGTTTTGTTATTATTTTATAGCCGGTTATTTGCGTGATTTTGGCGATTGCGCAAATGTAAATGGTAGACTATATAGAGATGACGAGCATATCCTGATAAGAGAACCTAATGGCCATAAATTAGACAGGTTTAGGAAAAAATAGTAAACGCCCTAAAAACTATTGGATTCAAAATAGAAATAAATGCAGGTACTAGAACAGCAAACTTCCAAGACGTAACCCTCAACCTGAACAATAATACATACGAACCGTACGGAAAAGATAATGACACCGCCACTTACGTACACACATCTTCCAACCATCCACCTTCAATCATCAAACAAATACCCATATCAATCAGCCGCAGACTATTTGTAAACTCATCTAACATAGACATTTTCAATAACAAAAAAAACACCATACGAAGAAGCACTAAAAGAAAATGGATACACACAACAGCTTCAATACACACCTCCACAACCGAAACGCAAAAACAGAAAAAGAAATAGTATCTGGTTTAATCCACCATACTACAAAACCGTCAAAAAAACATTGGTAGGGCATTCCTAAACTTAATAAAAAAAAACACTTCCCTGAAACAAACCGATTAGCAAAAATATGCAACAAAAATAAAGTTAAAATCAGTTACAGCTGCACAAAAAATATCTCACAAATGATAAAAAGCCATAACAAAAAAATAACAACATACGATAATGTAACGAAGGAACTTCAATACAACTGCAGAAATAGAACATGTCCACTCCAGGAAAATTGCCAACAGAAGAATATAATATATAAAGCCAAGGTAAGTGCAAACAACAGCACAATGAACTACATCGGTGCTACTGAGGGACCATTCAAGAAGAGAAAACAACAACAACAACCTTTCATTGTTCAACAGAAAATACTCAAACAGCACTACACTATCCACATACATATGGCATCTAAAAGGCAGAAATGTTACACAAAAAAAGAAGCTGGAAAATATTGAAAAATGCCTACTTTTCCTACACGAAAAGGTAGCGATAATTTCTCATACCCAACAAAAGAATTTACTAAACATCAGAAATAATTTCCAAATGTAGGCACGAAAATAAATACCTATTATCAGAATTTATGACAGACGGATAAAAAACCACCACATAAACCACCATTGACCCTATAAACATGAAAAGAGAAACCACTGACACCATAACGTTATCAATTATTTTCTAGTTCAAACTAGTAATTGGAATTATCGTTATTATCATTCCACCACTATTACTAATCACTTCTACCACTTTACAATAACTATTTGCTACTACAATTGTTATTTCATCACCCGCTCCTCCCCACCAGCATTACTACAACATCACAATTACTAATGTCGTATTAATCCGCAATTACCATTAACTTATCAGCCCACAATTATAGTTACTTCTCTTTCCCCCAGCAAAATTAATACCACCGCATAAATACTAATAAGTATAAACAAATTGGAATCTCTACCATTTGCATATGCGCAATCACCAAAAACAAGCAAATAACTGGCTTTAAAATAATAACAAAACAGACGTAAAGATTAAAAATAATAGCAATTTTTACCTATCATAGTCTTACACAGACCCCATCATACGTGCGTGCGAAAAAATATTCAGCGAAAAAAATAGGAAAACGGTCTGCACGTTTGCGCGTTGACAGCGCAACAATCATAAAAATATTCGCTACACAATCCAACATTGAATACAGCAACCAAATGTGTACGTATGTACACAACGACACATCTATACGTACATATACCAAGTCCCATAATGCTCACATATGTTTATGTTTGT